GTGACAGTTGAGAGTCCCTGCTTAAGCTTGAATAAACGACCCTTGTGTGCTTACATCGGAAACGGCCTCCTGGTGGTCTCTGGGACTTCACAATCTGGGCACAACAATAACCTGTATCATGGTGTTTTGTAAGTAATCAGGCTCTCTTAAACATGTTCTCACTTCTGTTCCCTCTTATGTACAAATGACACCAAGCCCTGGGAAGTTGTCCTTCAAAGTGGGCCAGATAAAGCAGATAATCACTCTTTTCAAGTTCTCCCCAGACAGGTCTCAGCCTCCAAAGTCTCTTCCTCGCCAATCCCCTGCAGCCAGGAGAAAGAAATCTTATCCTTGAAGACAATGATTTAATATTCCAATACAGGAATACAAGGATGGGCTTCCATACATTTTAGACAATCCCACCACATCATTGGCAATTAGAGAGTGGAAGGCAGGATTCTCCAGTGAAAAGGAGAAAGGAGGAGGCGGAAGAGAAAGAGGAGGAAGAGGACTGGGGCGGGGGTGGGGGTGGGGGGTAGACCACTCATATTCCACAAAAGAATGATTGCATGATAATAAATCCATTTGAATTTTCAAGGATGGAATTCATCAGATCTGCAAGTCTAAATATAGTACAAGCATCATCAATGTGGTTTTTAACACTTCTGGTGTGAGAGTTCCAGGGGGGTGTGTACGAAGAGAGTGTGCAAGGAAAGTTGGGAAACCCCTGGCTGCTCACTCACTCCCAGAGCAGCAGGATTCTGGGGTCCCTCCCTGACCCTCCAATAGGAAGGGGAAGGGGACGGGGAGTCAGGACAGGGGGTCTATGGCGACTGACTGGAGGCCTGCGCACCCTCAGGCAGAGACCTCTCCCATCGGCGCCGGCCTACGACCTGCGGCGGGCGGGCGGGCGGGGAGGAAACCCTGAGCAGGCGTTGCCGGCTGCCTCACGCTCTGCTGAGGTTAGCAGGAGCGGCAGCCTGTGGGTGGCGAGCGCGTTGTCACCAAGCAGTGCGGGCGCGGGGGCGCTCCGCCGGGGACTCCTCGGCTCGGGCCCCGCTGCCCCCGGACGCCGGGTGGGCGCGCCCCGCGCTCTGTGGACCGGAAGCTCCTCTCAGTCTGAAGGAGCCGGTCAGAGGGGCCGGCGAGCGGCTCCCCAGGCGGCGGGGCTGGGGCCGCAGTGACCGACGCCCAGCCCACTCTGACTCGTTGACGTTCCTCACACTTGGAAGAGGCTGCAGCGTGTGTTGTCGGAAGACGGTGGGAGGAGGGCAGGGCGGGAGGCCGTTTGGGACTGCATAACCGTTGCCCCTTTTTCTCCAGCCCCATTGTGATTAAAATGTGAGTTAATGGATGGAGATGTTTGTTAGTCTAGAGATGCTAGATAGGGATCTGTAACCGACCTAGGGTCCCAGAGTAAACTACTCAACTCTTTGTTTATCCCGAACTGATATTCCAGGCACCACAATTGTTAGAACAAGCTGCAGATGTCTGCTAACCATCAATATGTGACAGTCGACCACTAAGCTTTGTCCCCTTTTCTTTGATATGTTAACTTCCCCCTCAACCCCCTATAAAAACAGCCTCGGATTCTGAGCCAGTTGCCTCTCTGTTTCCCAACTTGGCTGGTGTGTTCCTTCCCGGGTGGTCTTCGCTGTAGCCAGCTCCTTGGAGCGTTTGGTAAGGCTCTTGGTCTTACATTCTGAAGGGACCGCTGGGATTCCTGGGTGTGCTCCACTTCAGCTCCTTGGAGCATTTGGTAAGGCCCTTGGCCTTACATTCTGGAGGCACCGCTGGGATCCCTGGGTGTGCTTCACTATAGTCAGCTCCTCGGAGCTTTTGGTAAGGCCCTTGGTCTTATAGCCTGAGGGCGCCTCCTCGCTGCCGGATCTGCTGCGCCCACGATGAGCCCGCTCGGGCCAGCCCCGGGCCGGGAGCCGAGCACGCCAGCGCCCGGCAGCGGTGCTCGCCGGCGGGACCCACGCTGCTCGGGTCCCCGGGATCTCCGCCCGCACGCACGCCTCGGAGCAGGACGCGCCGCGCCCCTCGCTCGTCCTTCCTGCTCGCGCTCCTCGGCCCGGGATTCGGTGTGTGTGGAGCCTCCTGGGGGCGGGGGCCTAGCCGCGCCGCCGCCGGGGCTGCGGTCGCTAGTGCGGTGCGCAGGGCAGGCACAGGCCCGGAGGGGACGCACCCGCCCCGGCGGCCACCTGAGGGGCGCCGGCGACAGCGTGGTCTAGCGCGGCACAGGCTCGGAATCCCCGCGCCCTCCCCCGCCCGGACCCTCGCGCCCGCTCCAATGCGGACCCCCGGCACTTCCAAGAACAGCCTCGGCCGCTGGGTGGCGCACGCTCTCCGGAACCTCCTGGGCAGCCTCTCCGGCCCGTGAAGTGTGTAGGGCGCACGCACAGGCGGCGGCGGATGGCGGGCTCGATGCATCTGGAAACGGGGTGCTAGCGGGGCACGTGCAGGGGAGCACCCAGTGGCTGGCTGGCTGGCTGGCGAGAGACCCTGAGGGATTCATCACACACTGGGAAAAGGAAAGGTAAAATGTGAGCGCTGCGCGATGATGCTAAGACCAAGGGTCCAGCCAAGGTTAGGCCTTGTACAGCTCTTAATGGGGGGTACCTGGTCATCTTTTTCCCTGAGACGTGTGCAGGATGTGGCGCGTGTTGGCTGGACACACGCGCTCACACACACACAACACTTGTGGCAGGTCGCACTTGTCCCTTATCTAGGAAAGTGTTGTATTACTGTCTTAATATTTCTTTGCGGAAAATGCCGGTAGATGGTTTTGATGGCATTTGGGGATTGAAAGGAAAAGGTGGAGTTCAGGGAACGAAGGGGACCCAGAGCATGCCAGACCAGAGGACAGAAAGAAGTGGGGTGCAGTGGTGAAGCGTGGCTCTGGAGTCAGAGAGAAAGACACCTCCCTCTCCAAGCCTGGCAACTCCCCCCCCCCCCACATTTCCTTTGTGTTCCGCGGGAAGCTGGCGGACCTGCGCTATTCCTGGTCCAGCCGGGCCCCTCTGGGTCCTCCTCTCCTATCGTTAAGGGTACAGGACGTGTTTCAGATCCTACCTGGGGAGAGGGAGGGAAACCCTGTAGGACTGGGGCAACCATGGCACCGAGGCTCCGGAATCTCAGATTGGTCACCAGAGTCTCTAGTCTGACTGTGTTTTAGAGTGGGGAATAGGGACTTGGGCTGGGCTGGGCTGGGGCGCACAGATTGTCTTTAGGAATAGCGTGGCTTCATGGTAACGGAGATGGCTGCAAATCTGCTTCATTACACTACTTCTGGGCCACAGGGCTGAATAAAAGACCCGCCTCTGCCCTCTCCTCGCTCTCTACCCTCGCTGTCCCCTCCCCAACCCAGTCACAAAGCCCTTGGGTTGGGCTGCAGGGTGCAGCACAGGGAGAAGGGAAGGGGTCACTTGCACAACTCCTGGGAATCAGCTTCGGAGAGGAGCCCTCTGCAACTGACTCCCACGTTCCTGTCAAGTTCTCTTACACAAGGTGGGAGGGGTGGGTGGAGTCAGTGAGACAGGGCCCTCCACCTGCTCTCTTGGGTCACTTTCCCAATGCACTCTCAACGCCTCGAATTTGCCTGCATGGTAACTGGCTCAGCAGGTAGCTCTCCATACCTGTGTATGCTGAGATGCAGCTCTCCTGATGGAGGCAAAGCGATTTGTATCTGAGCATGGTTTAACCTGGGCAATTTCTAAGCACAATAGAGATTTTATAGCATGGGCGAGCAGAGTGCATTCCAATGAAAGCAGGACACGTGATCCCTCCCATGGGAGAGATACAGTGTTAGGAACTCGATTTTCTTTGTTCCAAGCTGAGCCTGTGGATGCTCAGCATCCCAGTTGCTGAAGTCGTCCTTTCAAGGAAATATGATGATGATGACAATGATGGTGATGATGGTGATGGTCATGGTAATGATGGTGATGATGATAATGCTATTGATCAGAGGCCAGAAGAGAGGGGAGAGAGCACAGGTAGATAGTTGTGTGTGAAGCTCTTGAAACTTCCTGTGACATTTCCTTTTAAATACCCACCCTGCATCTCCAGCCCTCGCCCCAGTAGGCCCCCTGTTTTTAAATGAGGCACTACCTGTGGGAGGCGGTGGAAAAGCTCTCCAGCCCCTTCACACATGGGTTTCCCAGCTCTAAGAACCTGCTGTCATTGACAACAGATCCTGCCACCTCCCCAGTCCAGTGGCAGGCTTTAATTCAAGCATCCTGCAGCTGACTTGTTGGAGATCTTTCTGCAAAGGACTGTAAAGCAGTCCTGTCCCCGATTCTTGGAAATCACTGATCACACCAGGGGAAATGGGAGAAAGTGGAGAATCCGGGATTATTTTATTTTCCCCTAAGAGTCATAAGACTGACGTGCATGTATGTGCATCAGGTATGTGTTTAGCAGGGTCAACAGGTGGAGTCCCTGAGGTGTCTCAGGCCTGTGGAAGGCCCTGCAATCTGATCATTTATTAATTTAGTGAAAGTACAACTTGACCTCCACCCAACACTGAACTAGAGTTATGTGGCTTGGAGATTGCGTGTTTCATTTTGACTGCCTGTTTTACAAGCCATCTTAATAGGCTAAAGTTTTTTTTTTTTTTAATGTAGGCTATTTCTGACCGTGCTGCATTGCATCATGTTAATATGTCCTGGTAAAGAAAGCATAGGCAGTTTCCCTAACATATTCTGAGGTGAGAGTTC